GCCCTCCCCACCGGGGAAGCACAAATTGGCTCTGCCTGTTAGTAACAACAATTCCCTGAAAGGGTTATAAATCATGCCCCGTGTCTAGCCCTCACCCACAGAGGAACAGCGTCCACCTACAGGAATGCTGGCTTAGGACGTGGGACATGTGTGACCATTCTACAGCCCAGCAAGATCTCTTCTCAACAGCCAAAGGCTCACAGGTTACAGCACACCCAGGACACTCCATTTGTATGTGTAGAAGGAATGGAGAGAAATAGGGGTGGGAGGAAGAAAGGGAGGGCAGAGGGAGTGACTTTTCCTGGGGAGATGTAAACAAATGTCTGTTCACTTCAGACTGCAGACCTCACAAATGACTCCACAAATGACTCTGGTTTGCTGTGCCGATGACCAATGAGCTGACTGGGGAAACTTAAAGGAGCATGGGCAAGTCACCCCGGCCTGGGGGACAAGCTTCAGAAGATGCTCCACTGTGGCTTCTGCACAGCTTGAAGGCAGCTGAACTGAAGTCTTCTCTATTCAGCAAGAATTTACTGCCTCTATAATCTCTGGGGATGGGGCTTGGGACTCCTGTAACTTTCTTGTGAACCCCTCCTCCCTTCAGGAAGGGCTCTTCAACATGGAGCTGGTGCTCTGAAGACCCCGTTAGTTGTCCTCTGACATTTCACCTTTGAACTTCAATTCCAGTGGATTTTGTGGCCTAGTAGTTTTCAGAAGTCAGCTGGGTATGGTGGCACACACCTTTAATCCCAGGCCTTGGGAGGCAGATGAATCTCTGTGAGTTCAAGGCCAGCCTGGTCTACATAGGGCCAATCAGGGCTATGTAAAACCCAGTCTCAGAGAAACAAAAGACCCCAAAAACTGTTTCCAGAAGTCCCCAAAGTGGATCTGCTACTGAGAGAAACCCCATCCTAAGCCCCACTCTGGTTGAGCTTCAGAGGGGTTTGGGAAATCTCATAAAACTAAAGTGCAAGATGAAGGAGGTAGAAGGAAGAGAAGGGAAGGGAAGGGGGGAGGAAGGGGGGCTGTCAGGAAAGGAAAAGGGAGGCCCCTGTTCTGGAAAACTTTGCTACAACTTAGCAGATCCTCTGTAGGTGTCCCCAAATGAGTAGAGTTCTCTGTCCTGGTGAAGCAGATACCACTCCTTCCCAGACTTGAAGGAGGAGGGCACCTTCAGCCTCCCTCTGACTGTCTCAGACTTCCCTCATCCTTTTCCCTCCTGTGGGTGGTCCATGCTCTTTCTCTTCATTTCCTTCCACTGGAGAAGCTCTCCACTCCCAGTGGACTGTGTGTCCAGACTGATTGAGGACCCTTGGCACTGGAGGCAGTCCAGTCCCTGCTGCGTGAAGTCCTCTGGCTGTCAATGGATGAGTTTTTGACCCTGTACATGCCAGACTTCCCCTGAATAAAGGGAAAGGGTTAGGAGCTCCCTGCTCTCTCAGGGAAAGCACAGCCTTGCTTAAAGGCAGGACTCGGTGATTCAGGAAGCTGGTTGACCACCATCATTCCATTGACCCACGTCTCTAAAAATATGAGGAAAAGCCAAGAAAGGCTAAGTTTTGTGGCTTCAGAAATACCTGAATGTCTCAGAAAACCAAGACCAGCAGGGAAGGTTTTGGGAAAGATGGCTCCTTGACTCTCTTCATGATGCCTCTGAAAGGACCTCATCTGTTCTTGCTTTTTTTCCCTGTTTAATTTTCTTTTATTTCATTTTACATTCCAACCACAGTTCTCCCTCCCACCCCTCTTCTTGCCCCCCTCACCTCTTCCCACTCCCTTCACCTACCCCCTAGCCCACTGCCAGTCCACTCCTCTCCACGGGTAAGGATTCCCATGAGGAGTCAACATAGTCTGACACAGCAGGTTGGGGCAGGGCCAGGCCCCTCTCCCACACATTAAGGCTGAGCATAGCATCCCACCATAGGGAGTGGGTTCCAACAAGCTGGATCATGTACCAGGTTTGTGCCAGGAGCCAATCAGCTAGTCCGAGCTTCAAAACTGTCTCCCACATATGGTGAGCCTAGTTTGGTCCCCTGGAGTCTCTACAGCTGTCTGTCTAGAGTTCATGAGTTTCCACATGAGTTTCATGAGTTCAGCTATCTCTGTAGATTTCTCCATCATGATCTTGACCTCCCTTGCTCATATGTTTCCTCCTCCCTCTCTTCGACTGGATTCCCAAAGCTTAGCCTGGTTCTTGGTTGTGGATCTCTAGGTCTGGCTCCATAAATTACTGGATGAGGGCTCTATGATGATAGTTGGGATATTCATCAATCTGATTACAAGATTCAAGACACGGTGATACCACTCTTGGGCATATACCCAAAGGACACTCAATCATACCACAAGAACATTTGCTCAAATATGTTCATAGCAGCATTATTTGTAATATTAAGAGCCTGGAAACAACCAGGTTGGTTCCTCAACCAAAGAATGGATAAGGAAAATGTGGTACATTTATACATTTGGAGTACAACTCAGCAGTAAAAAAGGATGACCTCATAAAATTTTCAGCTAAATGGATGGAAGTAGAAAAAACCATCCTGAGTGAGGTAACCCAGACTCAGAAAGACAAACATGGTATGTACTCACTCATAAGTGGATATTAGGTTTAAAGCAAAGGATAACCATACTACAATCCACAGCTCCACAGAAGCTAGGGAACAAGGAGGACCCTAAGAGGGACACATGATCGCCCTGGGAATGGAAATTAGATGAGACCTATGGGCAAACTGGGGAGAATGAGATGGCTGTTCTTGCTCTTAGTGCCAGGGAGCCATGCCCCTGCCTCGCCTCACTCCAGTGATGCCGTGTGTTCTGCCTGCTGGGAGCACTTCTCTCTTCACTACACAAGTTAGCACAGACACTGGGGACAGGGTGCTGCCAAAAGTGAGAGTTCTCAGAGTAGGGTCCATGGACCACCAGCACCAGTAGCACCACCACCTTCACCAGCACCATGAGCACCAGCAGCAGCACTTATTAAGGAATCAGGTTTCCAACTCCACTCAGACCTGCTGACTCAGGGACTGAATGAGGCCACCGGGTGGTGCTGAGGCCCTGAGAGGTCTCTTGGGACTGTGATGTCAGTAGAGTGTTTCCTTGCTTTTCCAGAGATTCCTTACCCCAAGCACACATTTCACTCAGGGATGGTACTCACCGCCAGTCACCCCAACATCTGAGGACTGAGCCAGAGACAGGGACACTTCGAGCCTCTCCTGCCCCAGCCCTGGGCTAAAGGCAGAACCAGGAATGAGCATTGGGCAGACCATGGCCAGGCTCACACTGGTTCTGCAATCAAGGACAAGGATCTAGGTCTGGCTGCAACCCAAAGGGGCCAGTGTGTAGGGCCAGGGACTCACTAGCAAACGTGTCCCTCAAAGTCCTCTCGGTCCCTGATAGGGCAAGTGGAGACTGGAACCTCCTAAGGTTAGGGGAACCCAGTTCCTGGGGAACTCACACACTGAACCATAAACGGTGCTGAGTGTAGAGTCCAAACATGACTCTGTGGGGACGCTTGTGAGGACACCACCTCTGTCTCCTTCACCATTGCATTCTTAGAGACAAAGGTGCCACAGCCACTCATGGCCACTCACCCACACTCAGAGCCCTTGGGAGGCCAGAGCCCCTTCTCCACAGGACAGAGGGCCTAGAGGTGCAGAGGGATAGTCAGGGATCTGGGAAAATGCTGTCCCCAAGAGTGGGGGTCTCGAGGGAGGGGACATACTCTGGAATGTCTGGCCCAGCTCTCTGCGTGCGGGAAAGAGGAAGTCAAAGTCTTAAGAAGCTAGTTCCTGCCCAAGTGAGGGCTGGGAAGGAAGCCTCCACCCAGCAGGTGAGAATCAGCTCCCACAGGAAAGGGAGGCAGCAGTGGCAGCCATACTTCCCATGGCTCCCCCACCTTTGGAGCACTGTGGGTGACAAGAGTGAGCTGATGCTGCCCTGGGACAAGTTTCCAGCTAAAGGAAAGAGGCCAGAGGTGGGGAGAGGGAGCCCTGCCCGTTCCTCGTGAGGGCTCAGGCTTAAACCTGCCAAGGCTCTTGCCCTAGAAACACAAAACATAGACACACAAAGTATACACACAGCACTGCACAGCACACACAAACAACACTCCACATGTGCACACATAGCCTCTCTCTTGGGCCCCTGATGTAATTTCTGGTGTGGGTTATACTCACTAGAGGGCGCCAGAGAGCAAAGCGGCCAACTCCTAGGATGCTCAGGCTCCCACCATATGTGTGCCCCATGGCAGGGAAGCCTAGACCCCACCTTCCCCAGCTGATCCTTCTAGAAGTATCCAACATCAACCTCATCTTTTACTAACTAATGTGTGTATGTGTGTCATTCCCTTTCACCAAAAGTGTTTCCACCCATTAGAGCACACACCTCAGTAAGCAGTGGCCACTTGGCAAGTGTCTTAGCCACTGGGAGATGTCATGCTCCCTTCTGTGACACGGCATGGTGTTATTTAGGATATTTATTAAACTTAGGCACAGAGAAGTATCTTCCTGAGGGTTGCTTGGTGACGGTGGGCCCTCAATAACTGTTAGCCCCTCGCCTTCTGACCATCTCAGGTCATCCTGGACGTCTGGGTGAAATCCCCATCTCTGAACGATACCCAAGTATCCAAGTGTTCCAGCCACCCATCCTGTCTCCCCCACCCCAGTCCAGGCCACTCCCTGGGCTTCCTTCCCAGTCTACACACTTCCCAGAGAAGGTTGTCTGTATTTCTCCAAAAGGAGAAAGGTGTGTCTACAAAGTGACTTAGGGGAGATGCAGAGGCAAAAATCAAAGATTGGTGTGGGTGGATGTTTGCATGCTGGCCTCAGAGCCCCTTTCTTTGGTCCCCCAACAAGGGCCCAGAAAAGCCCAGCATGCCACCTTCACATGCCACGAGTCCTTAGACCCTTACAGCCAAGGCAGAGGTGGTTTCTGTTAGTTGCTACATACATGCTAGGCACTCAAAAAGCCGCACTTTGGGCCAGGCCTGTACCAGGTCTGGGGACATGACGGCAATTGTTCTTACCTTTGCTCCAGCTTCGGCCTTGAGGAACTGGAACATTTGGAGAGGCAGCCCCAGTGCAGCACCCACAGAGCTTTAACTGACTGAAGTGAACCTGGAGAGAATGAGAGTTCAGGGCAGGGACTGGGAGCTTGGCACACACCCAGGGAGACTTTCGGTGCATACAGCATACTGCCCTCAGAGGATCACATCTGCTGAACCCTGAACTCAAAGGCTGCCTGTGAGCACTCTCCAGTTCTCACTCCAGGGTCACAAGTGAAGGGGTTTTCCCTGAACAAGGCTTGGGACCTCTGCTGGGTGTCCCACCACTTTCCTAAAAATGACCCAGAGGGACTTCATGGTCCTCATTCCCCTTGAGATGCTGAAGGAGCAGCAGACCCCAGGAACTTTGCAGAATCGTTCCCTGGGGCCTAGGCTCCCATGGGAATAGACTCTCCATCCGTGCCTGGTCGGTCCTTCTGTCAGAGGGAGGAGAGGCTGGCCCATCTGCCCCAATGCCCACTCTTAAAAGGGTTAGGAGCTGGCTCTTCCTAGAACTAATCTCCCCAGTTGCAAGGAGGTTTCTAGACTGTATTTGCAGATTTAGGGGTAGGAGTCCAGGAGGTTGAGGGGAGTCCCTGGGAAGGACCCACATCGTTGAGGGACATCCCCCCCCCGGGGGAGGGGGGAATTACTGCCACTTAGGAAAGGACTGAAATCTGCCTCTGCTCCAGTGAATGGGGACCGGGAGACTTCCTCCAGAGCAGCAGGGGTGAGCCTGGGGACATGTGTTCTCAATTCCACAGACACAGACAAGCCATGCCCTCCCGCTTTTTTGAGTGTATCTGCTGTAGGGGACCCTAGAGCAGCCACTTGGAGGAGTCCCTGATCTCACAGCTTAGACAGGAGCCTGTGACAATGAACTTTGGAGGTTTCTCTTCCTTCTTCCGCACTGTTGATTGCAGGAGTCTTTCCCACAGAAGGGAGGCACTGAGGGGGGGCGGGTAGGGGTTTGCGTCCTTCCCTCCCATCCCTGTGGCCACCTGGCAGCCCTTCCCTTTCCTCTGGTGTTGAGGTGGGCACTCCAACTCTCTGGGATTGGATCCTTGAAGGTGGGCAAGGCCATAGCACCCTGCAGCTCTCTTCCGAGGGAAACAGCCACCAGCAGAGTTTGCTTAGAGAAGCGGCCCTCCTGGCCCCTCCTGGCCTTTCCTGTCCATTCCCAGTTCCTGCCCATCAGAGCAGCGCGTCCGGGCTTTGGCCTCTCCACCATGTGCGAGCTGCTATCTCCTGAGGGACCCTGTTGGGCCCGGGGCTTTCTTTTCCTGGCCACCGGGCTCCTCCTGCTCTCCTATCTGGCTTACTTGGTGCTGGGCACCGGAGTGTTCTGGGCACTGGAAGGTC